CACCCAGCCTGGATGGGTGGGGACCAGCGCGAGCAGCTGTCTGCTCTCTTGGCAGGCAGCACCAAGGGCAGTCCGCCACCCCGGGCCGGGACACTCCCCGCCGCTGCCGCCGCCGAGCCCCGCCTGCTGCCCGCGCCTGCCGCGCTGCGCTGCAGGCACCCGCACGCTGGCGCTGTTTCTGGCCGGCACGCTGAGCCCGCTGCCGCCGCTGCAGCATGCCGTGGTGGCTTCTTTCGCCATCTATGTGAGTCGCCTGTGGCGTACACCTGCTACAGCTGGCCCCCCGCGACGGCCGTTTCCTTGCTGGCAGCGCTGCGGTGTCCCGCACAGCAGTGCTATCGCTGCTGGCGCTCCCTTGTTGTGGTGCCCACGGCGAGTGCTGCCGCCTGCGCCTCCCCCGCGCCTGCCTCCTGCAGCGCGTGATGAGCGCGGACTATCGCAAGTATGACATGTGTGCTCTGCCCTTCATGCAACGGGCCGCCTGGCAGCGGTGGATTGCGGGCTGGCACCGCGGGGTCCATCTGGTGAGGCGGTGGAGTGCGTGCTTGCGTGTGTGCTGGGCGGGCAGGGCAGACGGGCTGCTGGCTGCCAGTGAGGAACAAGCGGGGCCCCCGGTGCATGCAGCTTACCTGCGCTGCCCTGACATTCACCAGCACGGCTCCCTGATTCTTGCCTGTGCCCCACTGTGTGCACAGGTGCTGATGGCCGATCCTTACCAGCCTGGTGTCGACTCTTTCAGCGACTGCCGCCAATTTGTGACGTGCTACCAGTTGCTGGTGGGGCTGCTGGTGCCTGCCGTTCTCGGCAGCAGCTTCCTCTCAGCTGACGACCAGCGCAGCCGCAGCGGCGGCAGCAGCCAGGGGCGGCAGCCTGGCAAGGGCGCCGTGGCCTCGCTGCTCGCTCCCCTGCAGCTGGGGTGCCGCTGGATGGAGTCTGTCCTGCAGCGCCTGTGGAGCTTGCTGGGCGGCCGGGGCAGCTCGACGTGTTCCCAGCTGGCGGCCTGGTGGCTGGTGCTGCACATTGTGTATGCAACAGCGCTTGGGCTGGAGCAGCGCTGGCATGCCGGCGATCAAGGCGTGGCGGGCTGCTGAGCTCCCCTGCGCCCGCGGGTTCTGCTTTTCAGCTTCCCCTTCGTGACTGCGCTTCCTGTCTGTGTGTCACAGTCTCTTTGGTTGGTATTTATCTGGTTGTATTATGTTCCTGTACTGCGATACGACACCTTAACCCTTCCTTGCACGACCCATTTTACCTTCCGCTGCCCGCCACGTTTCGATAACAAAGCTCGCCTCTTCCATTTCTTCCCAAACTAGTCTGTCTTCTCCCTGCGCTCTGTTCCTGAACTCCTTCTGAAGCCGTGTTTACTTCCTTGTCGGTATAAAGCGGAGATTGTCCCATTCCTGGTTTGCGCCACTCCCGCCGCCAACCTGCCGCTGCCGCTCAACCGCTGTCGCTCTCCGCCAAGAGACCAGGCGCTCCCCTGAATCCTGCTTGCACACCAGCGCGCACTTTGCTTAATGAATCGTGCAATCGATGTCTCCAGTGACCTACAGTCAAAGTAGCAACCTTGTCTCTGGAAAAGAAAGAAGCCAGGTGACAATGCAACAAGCAGTGCAGCTGTGTTGTTGAGCCCTGCCTCACAGGCGCAACAGCAGACTCAAGCGGTGAGCACCTGAGCACCCCGAGCAGGATGACTGAAGCTCGAGGTCTGGTCCACAGAAGCCTGGTCTGGCTCTTCATCCTCCTGGCCTTCTGCGGCTGGGTGCTGATGCTGGCAGGAGTGGCCTCCCTGCAGCAGGTGGGCGTCCAAGGCATGCTGGGAGCGCCGCTGGCCGCTCCTACCGCCCGCCAGCTGTGTGACGGCACCCGCCGCTGAGAATGCCGCCTGCTGCCTGCTGCCCCTCCGCGCCTGCCCTGTGCCCCGCGCCCTGCAGGCCTGCAGCAGCGGCATGGTGACCACGCTGTCAGACCTGCAGGCTCTGGCGGGGCAGGCAGGGCGCCGCCGCCACCTGCTGCAGTTCCCAGCTGGCGGCGTGGTGGGCGGCATCCCCGGCACCGTCGGCTACCTGGCTCCCGTCAGCTGCAAGAAGTTCTTCAGGTCATCCCCGTGTGGCGCTGCAGCTTTATCAGGGCCTGCCCGCTTGTGTGCTCGCCAGGCACACGGTGTGTGTGTGTGCGCGCGGCTGGCAGGGGTCGGGTCCCACCTGCCGCTCACGCCGCCACCTGAGGCCGTCTTGTCCCCGGCTGGCCCCACCTTGCAGCTACGCATGGTGGATCACCTTCTTCAACATGACGATGCTGATCCTGCTGGCGGCGGGGGTCACCACCCTCATCGGCAGGTTCCGCGGGGGCCTGGTGGCGTGGATGGGTGTACTGCTGGTACTGCTCATGGACACAGGTGAGCATTGCCTGTAGTCCTGGCCCCGGGGCTAGGCAGTGCAGCCCTGCAGCAGCCCGTGGGGCGGCCGTCGAGGGGCGGCGGGGCACTGCCCCTGCGGCCACACATCGCTGAGAGCTGCTGCCTGCCAGCCCTGCACGCTGTGCGCGCCCCCGCTGCTGCTCATCTCGGCCTGCCCGCCTGCCCCTTCCGCTTGCTCGTGCGCCTCAGCCAACACCTTTTTGTACTTCAACCACATCCAAGGCCTCAGCGGTGAGCCCTGCAGACCCTGAGCCCACCCTGCACCCTCTGTTTCTGTGTTTGCAAGTGCTCCCAGCGGCAGCGCCAGCGCCAGCACCAGCCACGCCTGGCCCTCATCCTCACCTCTGGGGTCTGCAGCCAGCCGCACGCCCAACCGCGCCGCGGCCCCGCCCAGCACCCTGGCCCACCAAGCCTGCCTGCCTGCCGAGCACCCTCCCTCGCCCGCGGCGCTGCGGCCGCTGTGCATGCAGACACGGTGGCGGACCGCGCGCGGGTGCTGGTGGCGGGCTCCATCATCTCTGCCATCGCCTACTTCTGCATTATTGCTATCGTGGGCTGGCACGACGAGGAAGCCCCGCTGAAGCCGCCGTACGACGCAGAGGGTGAGGCGCACGGGTGGATTACGCGCATTTTACCTGTTGCCGGCGCCGCCCTAGAGCAGCCAAGCTGGCAGGCGGCCAGGGCAACAGGCGGCCGCCGCAGCTCACGAGGCTTGCTTGCCTGCGTGCTGCCGCCGTGCCTGCAGCGGCTGGAAAGAAGGAGCCCAAGAAGGAGGGCGGCGGCCTGCTGGGCATGTTCGGGCGCAAGAAGAAGGAGGCGCGGGGCGAGGAGGAGGGCGCCGGGATTCCCGGCAGCCCCCGCATGCTGCAGGTCCCTCGCCCGCCGGTGGTGCCTCAGCCCATGGGCGGCCCGCCGGGCAGCCCAGGCCCCAGCCCCATGCCCGCCGCCACTGGCGCCACCACCACCACCACCACATACACCGTCGCACCCACCGTGCCCGTCACCACTACCACGGCAGTGCCCATCAGCACGCGGGCGGGGCCAGTCGCTGCCGGCGGGCCATGAAGCTGAGCGGGCACCCCGGCGCGCCAGCGACGCGCGGCACGCCTGCTGGACCCCCGGTTGGCCGCCAACCGCTGCAGCAGCAGTTGGCTGGACAGCGGTGCCTATCTGGCGTAGCTTCACGTTATCATTGTGTTGGGAGCCGTGCAGCAGGCTCCATTGGTTGCAGAGGGAGCGCACAGGTGCACAGGTGTGACTCCAGGCCATCTCATTGGCGGTGGAGCGGTAGCGCCGTGCTTTTCAGACTGCCGGGATTACACAGCATGTAATGGCAACGTTGTTTAATGATGAACACAGCTCGAGAGGGGTTTACACCTCAGTTCTTTCCACCTGAATGCTGACTGTACCACCCTCCCGTCACACCCTTCAACGGGGCCCAAACCGAGGTCACCGTTGAAACCTCCCACCTCGAGTTCAGCAGCCCCTGCAGCAGCACCCCAACGGAGACCCCCGCTCGCCCCACAGCCCCAGCGACCTGGGTGGTGGAGTGGGTACTGCCGGACTCTGCCCCACCCTCAGCAGCCTCCGCCATGGCGAACCTGCTGCAGCGTGCGGCGTCCGAGGCGAGCCCGGCGCTTCTGGCGGCGCCGCCGCCGCCCAAGGGCTGCGCAGGCACACTGCGTGTGCCCTTCTGTCTCCTGCGCTCTTCTTTTACGCACATACTCTCTCCCAACCGTGCTCCTTCATTGTGTGAACCCAGGGCGTGGACATCGTGAGCAAGCTGTCCAACGTGTGCAAGTCGCGCTACCAGTGCCCGCCCCTCTCCCCCAGCTACATCCAGGAGGCCAAGGCCATCATCCTCATGAGAGGCACCAAGGCAGGCAAGCACGACAGCCGCGGCACCTGCCTGCTGCCGGGCAGCGCCCGCCGGTGAAAACCGTGAAGATCAAGAAGCGGCCGGCCGCTGCCTCCGCTGGCTGCTCGACGCCGCTGCTGGCGCTGCTGGCGCTGCTGCTGCCTGCGCCCCGCTCCAGTCCCTCGCCTGCACGGGTGAGCTCACCCATTCTATTGTGGGGCCCTTCTGCTAATGCAGGACTGGGCGTGGGCATGCGCTCCGGCCACGGCATCATGCTGTCCCGCCTGCCCTCGCGCAGCACAACCGGCAGCGAGCCGCCCCACTGGTCCGCCCCTGTGTTCATCAAGGTGATGGCAGGCCGGCATGCGTGTCGCTCACGGCGAGCCAGCATGCGCTGGCGTCACTCCTGTTGGCAGCCGCTTGCCAGAGCAAGCTTAGGGCGGGCTTCGGCGTGCTGTGCTGCGCTGCGCTGCAGGTCACAGTGGGGCAGGTGGGCTTCATCATGGGATTTGAGCAGGTGAGGTGCCAGGGCAGGGCGCGGCGCCAAGCGCTCGCAGGCGAGGGGGCTTGCAGGGCTGGCCGCCCCACCTGGACGCTGGCAGGGGAAGGGGCGCGCCGCAGGCCAGATGGCCCATACGGCCGTTGCGCGCCTGCTGGCTGCCGCCAGCGCGCGCGAAGCTTCGGCCCTGCGCCTCACTCGCACTCTGTGCTGTGCCGTGAGGCTGCTTGGTGTGATGCAGGTGGACACGTTCATGCTGGGCATGACGAGGAAAGTGGTGGACCAGCTGCAGACCGGCAGGCAAGCCGCCACCCTGCCCTGCCGCCGCCGCTGCCACGTCCTGGCAGGGCAGCTGACACGGCCCCGGCACCCCTGCCTCCTCGAGCCCCCCGCCAGCTCGCCACCCCTGCCGCCAGCTCGTCCCTCCGCCTGCCCAACCAGCGGCCGCGTCCGACACACCGCACTGCCTGCCCTGCACCCCGTGTCTCTGGTGGACGCCATTCCATTCCCTTCCCCTGCTGCCTCGTCCCCGGCGCTGTGTCCACCCACCAACCGCCTGCGTGCTTTCCTCCCACCCCGCCGCAGCCACACGGTGCTGGGTGTGGACCAATCCATGGTGGTGCTGCAGTCTGAGGTGGAGGACAAGTCCGACGTCATCGCCGCCTCTTCGGGGTCGGCAGACCTGGTGGGCATCAGGTGGGCGGCCCTCCTGGGGGACACCTGGGGACTCAAACTTTGTTGTACAAGCTTGGTGTAGGTGTGGGGGTGTCCCTGCCACCTGCTCGAGGCGCTGCAGGACTGGCGGGGGTCAGAGGACCTTGCGCTGGTGTGGATGGGGCGGCGCCGCGGCTTCGCCCTGCCCTCGACAGCGAGCCGCCGAGCCTCGCCTGCCTGTCTGCCTGCGCCGCCTGCTGCCGACAGATTTCCAAAACCCCTCGTATTTTTCTACCTTGGTCTTCCTCCCACATTCCCCCTACCCCCACCCGACCCCCACTTCTCCCTGCCTGCTGCCTGCCCGCCCCCGGCTGCTGCGCAGCCACTCGTCTGGCGTCATGCTGGACTTCTCCCTGTCCGGTACGTCCGGTACCGCCCCGCTGCCTGGGAACTGGGAAGGTGGCACCTGCCCGCCTGCCTGCACGCCGTGCCCCGCCTGCCGCTGGGCTGCATGCAGGCGGCAGACAGCTGGGGCCAGGCTGCCGGGCTGCCCCATCATGCAGTCGTCAGCTGCACGCCAGACTGCTGCCTCCCTGCGCAGCAGCACCCTCCAATCCCTCGCCTGCTGTCCCTCGCCTCCTGTGGCCCCCTCTTCCTTTCCCCAGGCGGCTCCATGAGCGTCAACCAGTCCAAGATGGAGCAGGCCTACGGCTCTGGGGTGACCGTGGCTGATGTGGTCAAGTGAGCTCAGCCACTCACGCAGCCTCGGTTGTTGCCACATCGTGTGGATGTATCGGCGCTCTGTGAGCGCATAGTCCTCATATGTGCGGATCTGCAGGAGGGAGGCGGAGGGAGGGAGGGGGCGACGTCTGCCAGGTCCAGGGCACGCTTAGGCGGTCTCAAGCTTGGCCGCCCTGTGTGTGCGCAACTGCAGGGGCGTGGTACCGCCGCCTGCTGAGCTGGCGCCGCTGTACGACAAGCTGGCGGAGCTGGTGGTGGTGAGCGAATGTCAGCTACCGCATGATTCTTTCTGGGAGATGCACTTGCAGCAGCTGCATTGCCATTCGCTTCCCAAGCTTGCCAGCCCCCACCCATCGTGTTTGTGCTCCTTGGCGTGCCGCCACCTCGCCCGGCGGTTCTGTGGCCATGTGTGTAGGGAGGCAAGACGCAACCGATCGGTGTGACCACCACCAGCCTGGAGCGCATGACCGCAGGCAGGGCTTCCTTTGCCCTCCTCGCCCATTCCAGCCTGCTGCTTGTTCGCTGCTCTGCAGGGGTGCCGGCCAGCGTGCTGCGTGCTCTGGCTCTCTCCCTTTCCCGGAGGGGACTTGCTTACATCTATCACCAATCTCTCCTGGGTTGCAGGGTATGACCCTGAGCGCCGTATCGGCGCCGAGGCCAGCCTGGCGTCCATGGGCTATGGCGCGGCGCCTGCCGCCATGCACCCGCGCGCCCCGGCTGGCGGAAGGCACGTGACGGCGGCGCCGCTGGGCAACGGACCCACCCCTGCAGCTGTGCTGGGGGGCAGGGCGCCGGCTGCAGCCCAGCCCGCGGGGCCGGCCTCGACCTCGTGGGTGGCGCAGGCCCCAGCTGTGGCGGGGCAGGCCCCGGTTCCTGCCGTGGCGCAAGGAAAGGCCGGTCCTTCCCCGGCGGCACAGACGGTGCGCATGGTGGTGCAGCGGGAGGTGTGATGGGATGGCGGCTGGTTGATTCAGGACGACTCCAACCGAACTCAACATGTACAATGCCTGCTTGCACAGATTTGTAACTTGACGGTGCTTGCTCCATCACGGTGCCCCCACCACCCCCGCTGATGTGGCACATCTCAAACAGCCGGGTGTATGCTCCTCACAAAGATTGGATTGATTTGAGGAGCTCACAGCGTCCTCGCCGATCCTGTGGGGCCTGGTCAAGTCCGCTCCTGCAAAGCCTGCCTGCTGGGTGGCCGGAGCTCGCCTGGTTCGCGCATATCACTCAATGGAAGCCAGCTTACTCGCTGGCACCGCACCGAGCCAGGAGGTGGAGACGCCTGTCAATGGCACCACCTTCCGTGCCCAGCTGCGAGGGAGAGGCCCCCTGCTGGAGCTCAGCATTGCGGGGGATGGCAGCTGTGACATCAGGCAGGCAAGAAACCTGGTTTCTGCGCTGCTCCCCCAATACTGCCGCCAGTACCGGGGGCGGTGGTTGGCACGTCGCCGCCTGCAGCGCTGCGGCATGCCTGTCTGCGAGCAGGACAACCCAGCACACGGCTCTGTCGCCCCTGGACCCTGCATCAGGTGAAGGAGGCGTCCTCGTCCTGCCCAGCCTTCCTGCTGGGGCTTTTCAAGCGAGGAGCGGGCCCGCCGCCGCAGGTGGGTCGGTTGCATCTGGGCTAGCGCTGCTGGGCCTTCAGCTGCGGCTGTTGTTGGTATCAGCTAGCTTTCTGTCAGAGCAGCCTGAACTGAACAGCGCATCACGAGTAGGACTGGAACTCCCCCAGGCCTCAATCCCCATCGCTTCTGCTTGGAGCAGCCCTCTGCCAGGCTCGCCGGCCTCCCGCCGTTGCCCCAACACCCTGCCTGCGCTCATCTCCCGCGCCTCTGACCCGGCCGCAGATCCCAGCGGCAGACATAATCGGCGCCACCGCAAGCGGCTGCGAGCTGGTCATCTGGCACGCGCCGCTGCAGGGCAAGGCCGCCGCGGCGGCAGAGAAGCCCGCTCGCCGCCTGCGCCGCACGCCGCCGCTGGTGCTGGAGTCATCGGAGCAGGCGGCGGCGGCGGTGGCGCTGGTACGCGCCGCCTGCTGCGCCTGGGGCAGCGTGTACCGCCCGCCCCGCCTCCTCGTCATCGTCAACCCAGCCAGCGGCCCCGGCAGGTGAGCGGCGCTGCGCAGCTGCGGGCCGCAGCCTGCTGTGCTGTCAACGGTGGAGTTGCGGTGTGGTTGAGGGGAGCCAGCTGATTTGCGGGCAACCTGGGGGGCTGGGCAAGCGAGGGAGCCCTCATCCTGTGCCCGCAGGGCGCCCTCAATATATGAGAAGGAGGTGCGTCCGGCACTGGAGGCCGCGGGCTGCCAGCTGGCCATGCACCTCACCAAAGCGACGGGCCACGCCACAGGTGGGCGTGCGATGGTCTGCCCCCTCCTGGCCTGGCCTGGCCACACCTGCTGTGCCTGTCTGCCATGCCGCGGCGGCGGTGCCTGCTGCTGCCATTCAGCCCTGGCACATCGTCGAGGGTGTAGCGCTGGTTGCTGCTTCGCCTTGGTGCCTGAGGGCGCCTGCTGATGGCCCCTGCCCTATGGCTGCCGCTGGCTGTCGGCGCGCAGAGCTGGTGCGGCAGGTGGAACCTGGCAGCGTGGATGCTGTTGTGGCCATCGGCGGCGACGGCACCATGTATGAGGCGCTGCAGGCAAGCGCATGGCTGCCCTGTGAGATCGAGGTGGCGCCCCCGCTCACCCACGGCCGCTCGGGGCGCCGTAGGCCAGCTGTGGTGGAGCGTGGGGCGTGGGGCAGCTGCGTGGAGCGCAAGCAGCGAGCTCTTCGCCTCCCCTACGCTGCGGCCTGGTGGCGCGTGCAGGGCATGCTGATGCGGCCAGACTGGGATGCGATGAGGCACGCGCCCCTGGCCCAGATCCCGTGCGGCAGCGGCAACGCGCTGGCGGCCTCGGTGGGGATGTGGACCGTGCACACCGCTGTGCACGCTGTGGTCAAGGGGCAGCGGCGCGCGCTAGACATCGCCTCGGGCAAGCTGCCGCCGCGCACCGCAGGCCCTGGCGCCACCCTGGAATGGGCACGCGCCGTGCTTGGCTGCTGCTGGGTGTGCATGCTGCTGTCCGCTGCCCCTCACGCTCCCTCTGCTGCCCGCTCTGCCGCCCCTGCAGTGCTGCAGCACGAGCGCCGCTGCTTCTCCTTCCTGTCCATCAACTTTGGCCTGATCACAAACCTGGACATTGGCACGGAGCACCTGAGGTGTGTGTGTGTGTGTGTTTGGTGGGCCGGCTGTGGTGGTGATGCTGGTGATGGGGGTGTGGAGTAGAGGGTAGGGACAAGCCGTCTGGGTGGCTGTGTCGACTGAGGGCTGGCCCGCCGCCTCCTCCCAGGTGCAACAGTTTGCCAGGCGCTCAGCAGCCTACTGAACGCCTGGAGTGCCGTGCGCCACCTGCAGGTGGATGGGCGGCACCCGGTTTGTGGTGGGCGCCCTGCAGCAGATCATGCTCAAGCGGACCCATGCTGCACGGGTGGCCGTGCTGGCACCCGACAGCAGCGACGGCGTGGCAGCGGACGGCGGCGCCCTCGACGGCAGCGGCGCAGCAGGCGCGGACGGCGTCCAGAACGGCAGCCATGCGGCGCATGCAGGCCTGCGTGCGGCGGCGGCGCTGTCGGGGCCCCCGGTGCAGCACCTGGATGCCTTCCTGCAGCTGGCAGGCAAGGGCCGGGCTGCTTGCATGTTGCTGCCAAACCGCCAGGTCGGGTGCGACCGATGGGTGGTGGGCTGTGGGCTATGGGCTGCTTGCTATGCTTGCCCCTTCTCAGCTGGCCGCCCACCCCATGCCCAGTCTCCATGCCCCGCGCTCCCCTGGCCCGCAGGCCAGCAGCTGCCGCCAGGATGGCAGTGGCTCCCCGACCCACGTGTGGCACTGTTCACCGCCACCAACCTGCCCCGCTTGGATATGAACTTTCACCTGGCTCCTATGGCCGCCCCAGACACAGGTGCGTGCTGCCTGCCGGCTGAGGAGGCCCCGGTGTAACTGCAGGATGGGCGGCGGTGCGCTTGTGGCGTGCCGCAGCGCGGCGGGGGGCCACCCTAGCGTCGCCCACCCTCCTCTGCCTGCCCGGTCCCGCCTCCCGGAGGCTGCCTGGCACCTTGCGCGGCATCCCTGATTCTCCCTGCCCTGGTCCCCGCAGGCTGCTTTGATTTGGTCTACACGGCGCCAGGCAGCCGGCGGGAGGGCCTGCAGTTCATGACTGCCAGCGAGAAGGGTCAGCACATGGGCCTGCCCACGGTGCGGCACCGCCGCGTGGCTGCCATGGCGCTTGAGCCCCAGAGCACAGGTGGGAAGGGGCTTCCGGCCGGGCTGCTGTGCTGGGAGGCTGCCACGGTGCCGCCCCGCCTTGGGTGGCCGGCCGCCTGCAGTGTGCGGTGCTGCTGGGCAGCGCAGCAGGCACAGCGGTGCGACAAGCGCTGATGGCTGGGAGCCTTGCCGCCCGGCCTGCCCCCCGCTCCCGCCTGCAGGGACGTGGCTGGTGGTGGACGGGGAGGTGGTGCCCTTCTCCCCACTCTTTATGGAGGTGCATCCCAGCCTCTGCAGCGCGCTGGTGGTGCCAGCGGTGCGGTGACGGCTGTGCGGCGGCATGTGGCTGACGGTGCGGCGGCGTGCCACCCCCCCCCCTCTTCTTTCTGCGGCCAATCGTCTGCCATGGAGCCACAGAGGTGTAAACCTAAAGCTGGGGCCCCTGGCTGCAGGGGAGTGGGGCCGTACCCGCTACCGGGCGCGGGAGCCGGCGGGGGTGCCGTGCGCCCAGGCAGCACCTGATTAGGGAGATCTCCCCTGTGCCCCCTGGCCGGTTCCGTCCCCCTCATCGCCCTTTGCAGGCTGTTTGAGAGCGGGAGACATCAGCAGTCCGGTAGCGACACTCTGGGAGGTGGAGCCAGCTTCCAGCTTCTGCAATTTTCGTTTTTGCTCCGATCGTCAGCTCCCCACCTGCAAGCCTCCGTTTGGGCTTCCTGGCACCCTGTTCGACCTGGCGAGCCGCCGCATACCGGATGCCACCTCTGGTCTGAGTGCGAGCATGACGCGCGCCAAGCCACGCTCCGTGGAGCTGGCAGCGTTGCTGGTGCTGGCAACAGCGACGCTGGCGGCAGCGGCGAGCACAGAGGATGGTGCGAGGGTGGAGGGTCACGGGGCGGCTCCTGCCGCTTGTGCACAGCAGGGAGGCTTGTGGGGCCGGGGGGAACGGGCAGGCCACATGGTGCTCCAGCAAGGGGCGGAAGGGCTGCCGCCGCGGTTCCCTGCGACGGGAGGTGGAGCGGGCGCTTCGGGGGGTGCAAGGCTGTTCTGCGTGTGCTGCTCCTCTGCGGCGGCCTGCCTGCAGCCCAGCTGCTGCTGAGCCTAAAAGATGCAGTAGACGCAGCCGGACCCGGCAGCTGGGATGCCGCGCTAGCCAGCGCGCAATGCCAGGCGGCGCCGGGCGCAGACTGGGCGGCCGGCACGCCGCCGTGCGGCAGCGGCACGGCGGCGGCGTGGCGTGGCGTCACCTGCGACGCATCTGGCGCGGTCACGGGAGTGTGAGTGCGGCCTGCAGGCGCCGATGCCACGGCCTGCTGCAGGAGGCTGCGTGGGCAGCGGAGCCGGGTGCTGCATTGCATCCTTTTTTGGCTTTGGCCGGCACCAGGGCACCGGCGCCGCTGGCTCGAGGCGCTTCTGCCTCCAGGCGCCCACACGGCCGCATGCCCCGCCCGCGCTGGCGCAGGAGCCTGCCGTTCTGCGGGCTGCAGGGCATGCTGCCGGCAGGCCTGTCCCAGCTGGACCAGCTCAACATGCTGGACCTGTCTCACAACGCCTTCTCCGGCGGCGTGCCAGCCGGGTGGACCGCCGTGGGCGCCTTCCTGGCTCTAGAGACCCTCAACCTAGGTGCGCCGCCGCCGCCGCCGGCCGGGCCCGCAGCCGGGCAGGCCTCGCGACGCCGCTCCCTGCCTCCAACCTCGCGCCGCGCGAGCTTGCTTCCGTGGGCGGCGGCGGGGCCGCGCGGGGCCGTGCGGTACCGAGTCGCCGACCCGCTGCCGCCGCCTCCCCTTCCTGCCACCCCCGCCGCCGCCCGCAGCCTTCAACGAGCTGTCTGGCGGGCTGGATGATTTCACCATGGCCGCCTCTGGCTTCATGGCCTCCTCCTACTTCAACGTCTCGACCAACCGCCTGAACCAGAGCGCCATCCCGGCGGGCTGGTACTCCCGCACGCTGCGCCTGCTGGACATCGCCTATAACGACGTCTCCGGCCCGCTGCCTGTGGAGTGGGGGCTGCCCAGGGCGGGTCACGAGGCTGCCTACCCCTCTGCCTTCCCTTCTCTGGAGAGGCTGGCCCTCGAGGGAAACAACCTGTCGGGGCCGGCCGACCCCTGGCCCCGCGGCGCCGCCAACACCTTTGCCCCCGGCTTCCTGTGCACGGGCGAGCCGGGCAACCCGCTCCTGGAGATGGCGCCGGCCTCCGTGGCGGGCGACGCAGAGGGCAGCGGCAGCGGCAGCGGCGGCGGGCTGTCGGCCGGCGCCATCGCGGGCATCGTGGTCGGCGCGGTGGCGGGCCTCGGTGCGCTGCCGTCGCCTGGGGCTGGTCGCGGGTCGCTGCTGTGGGCCTGTGCCTGGGGTCGCTGCTGCCGCTGGTCTTGGCTTCGTGGCTGGCTTCGCTGCCGCTGCGTGTCGGGGAGAGTTGTCAGACGCTCTGGCTCCTGGCGCCCCGGCAGGCCGCCCCACTGGACACCCTCACCCTACCTGCCTGCCTGCCTGCCTGCAGCCCTGGTGGCCGTCCTGGCAGCGTTCGTAGTGAAGAAGCGGCGGGCCGCCGCCGCTGCCGCCGGCCTGCCCGCCAAGTCCAAGTCAACAGACGGCAGCAGCGCCTTGGAGGATGTGGAGGGCGTCAAGAGCGGCGGCGCCGCGCGGCGGCGCGACTACGACAGCGCGGGCCTTGGCTCGGCGTACGAGGGCGGCGGCAGGGGCGCGGTGCCGGGGGCGGCAGCGGCCGTCGGCGGCGCCCATGAGCAGGCCTCTGACCTATCTTCGGGGGCTCTGCTGGCGGGCGGCGCCGCCTCCGCCTACTCCCGCGCCGATTCCGGGCGCACCTTTGGCTCGATGCTGGTTGACACAGACGCGCGGCGCCTGCCCGCCGACTGGAACACAGGTGAGGCACGCCTTGCGGGTGGGCAGGCGGGTGGGCGGGCGGGTGGGCGCGCGAGCGGGGCTGGGCCATCCCAGGCGGGACGGCGTGTGTGCGCCGCCGGCTGGCTGGTCCAAACACCACCCTTCGCCACCTGCTGCCTGCCTGCCTGCCTGTCTGCCTGTCTGCCCGTCTGTCTGCCTGTCTGTTGGTTATAAAAATACCATAGGAAGCCCCCGTACCGAGCCCCCCCTGCCTCCCCTCCCTACCCGCAGTGCTGTTCTCCGAGCTAGAGATGGAGTGCTGCATCGGCGCCGGCTCCTTTGGTGCGGTGTGGAGGGCCAAGTACTGCCAGACCAGTGGTGAGCCAGCCAGCCACGGCGGCGGCCGGCCATCCTCGCTGCGTGCGCCTGCAGCTGCTCACCAGCAGCAGCGGCTACGCGATCTACGCAGGCGCAGGGCGTGGCCAGCTGCTTGGCTCCTGCCCGCCTCCGCCGCTTGCTGCCCCGCTTGCCTGCTTGCTGACCTGGTGCCCCCTCCTTTCTTCCCTTCCCTCCCTTCCTCTCTCCCCTCTCCTCCCGCCCAGTGGCCGTCAAGATGCTGGGCGTGGACAAGGCGCCCGGCACCAGCGACACCACCCACCAGCGCAAGATCACGCGCCAGCTGGAGAAGGAGGCGGGGATCATGTCCAAGCTGCGCCACACCAACTGCTGCCTGTACATGGGCGCCTGCCTGGAGCCCCCCTGCCTCCTGAGTGAGCGGCGGCGGCCCGGCGGCGCCGCGGTGCCGCCGCGCGCCCTGCTCCCCTGCTCCCCGCCTTGCCCTCTGCCTGCTGTGCCAGCTTCCCCTGCATCGGTGGCAGCCGCTCGCTGCGGGCAGGAGCCTGCTCGGGCGCGTGCCCCGCGCTTCATGCGCGCCAGCGGCGCAGCCGACCGCGCCCGCGCCCTCGCCTCCCCCTGCCGCGCCCGCCTGCGCCTCTGCAGTGGAGTACTGCGCGCGCAGGAGCGTGGACAACCTGCTTGCTCAGGGGCTGAAGGACAAGAAGGCGGCCCGCCAGCTCAGCTGGCCTCGCCTGCTCAGCATGGCCAGCGACGCGGCCAAGGGCATGGTGTACCTCCACACACGGCAGCCAGCCGTGTACCACCGAGACCTCAAGTCAGCCAACCTGCTAGTCACCTCGCAGTGGCAGGTCAAGGTGCGTGTGTGCGCGTTCGCTGGTGTGGGGCCGTGCAGCGCGGCGGGCCGGGTGGCGCGGCGGGCGATGGGGCGGCAGCAGCGGCAGTCCGCGGCGTCCCGCCAGCCGCCAGCGCTGCGCCTTTTCGTCGGCGTCGCCCCCGGCTCGCGCATCTGCGCTGGCGTGAGCCCCACCCCACCCCGCCCCGGTTCCCTCCTCTCCCCGCTCACTTGCCCGCTTTCTTCCTCCCTCCCCTTCCTTTCCTCCTGCCTCCCTCCCTCCACCATCTGCCTCCCCTCCAGGTCGCCGACTTCAACCTCTCCCGAGCCCTGGAGCCTCACGATTTTATGAGCTCGCTGTGCATTCAGAACCCGCGGTGGCTGGCGCCCGAGGTGCTGGCAGGAGAGGACGGCGGCCTGCCTGCAGGTGAGGCCCCCGAGCTGCACTGGCCTGCATTGGCCTGCACTGGCTCAGGCTGAGGGGCAGCCCTGCCCAGGCCGCGTGCTGCCGGCTCGGCCCGCCGCCCTCGCGCCGCCCCTGCTGCAAGCGTGCGCTGCGGGCAGGCTGCCTGCGGGGGGGGGGACCCGGCCTCCCGATTGCGCGCTGAGCCCCCCACCTCCACACAACCACAACTCCACACACAACATGCCTGCGGGGCTCCGCTGCCCTGCCCGCTGGCCCAACCCGGCGCCCCCCGCCCCCTCCCACACCCCCTCCCTCCTCTCCTCCCTCGCCCCCAACCCGCACAGACGTGTGGGCGTTTGGCACGGTGCTGTGGGAGCTGATGACGTGGCGGGCGCCGTTTGAGGGCGCCAACCCGTACCAGATCATCAACATTGTGCAGGCCGCCCCGCGCGGCTCGGGCCTGGAGGTGCCGGGCCCCGAGCAGCTGCCGGCGGGCCCGCTGGGCGAGTATGGGCCTTACGTTGAACTGGTGGAGGCGTGCTGGGAGCGCGACCCAAGGCTGCGGCCGACGTTTGAGGGGGTGGTGTCGCGTCTGCGCGCCATCCTGCAGGCCGGTGAGCGCCCGGGGCCGGGCCGGCGCGCCCCTGATGCGTTGTACGCGGCGGGAGGCCTGCATGCACCCCGCCGCACGCCGCACGCGCCCGCCTCGGCCTGCACCCCTGCGCTGCGTCACACCTCGTAAGTTCCCTCCCTACCCCTGTGCCACGTTTGTGCCCTGCAGAGATGCGGCGCAACAACAGCAGCAGCTCGCCGCTGGGCAGCGCCCAGACGGGCTCCCCGCAGCCCTCGCCCCAGCCCACGCTGCAGTCGGCGGCCACCTCGGCGCAGCCGTCGGTGGCTGCGGGCAGCGCCCTGGAGCAGGCGGGCGCGGGCGGCGGCGGCGCGGGGTCCCACACCTCGTTCGATGCCGCCACCAGGGCCACCAGCCGCGCGTTCCAGGAGGCGCTGCGTGACAGCTTTGGCAGCACCAAGGGCAAGGAGGAGTCGCCATTTGCCGCCGCCGGGGCCGACAGCCTGGCAGCTGACGGGGCAGGGGCGCCGCCGCCGCCAAAGCCGTGAGGCGGGCAGCGTGGCCGTGCCCCCCGGCGTGCGGACCCCAGGCCCAGCGGGGGAGCTTGGGGGCGACGCGTGCAGCGGGAGCAAGCGGCCAGGGCGGCGTTTCCAGTTCTTTTCCAGCCCCTCGCGGCCAAACCTGTCTGCAACTAATTAATCTGCTCGTCCCCTCTAGCTTTCCCCTCGCACAGCACCGCTACAATGATATAGCTGTCCGGCGAGCCCTGCTCACCGCTTGCCTTACTCTCTCTCTTCCTCTCTCTCTTCACTACCAGTCGCTGCGGGCCTGCTGCCTCTTCCACCGTCCTTTGTGGGCCAATCACGTCTACCGTTCCACTCTCCCTGGCCACGTGCCAACCCGTATTCCTTTCTTTCTCTGCAGCCGCCTTCATCCCTCTGGCATGTGCCTTTTGATGGCCGGCCACAAAGGCTCAGCCTCGTGACGCAGCAGGAGGGACCCTGGCCTGGCGGGCTGGCGCGCTTGTCCGCTGGTGCCGGCCCCGCCCAGCCAGTCCTCACCCAGCCTGCTCGCCGTTTCATCGCATCACTCACTCAAAACTCGCCTCTCTGCCCTTTTTCCAGCAATGCTAGTGCACCGACTTACTTACCTGTAGCAGTTGTATCGAGGCATGCCGCCTTCTGCCTCCCCTGGGCATCGAGGCATGCACCCTTCCGCCTCCCCTGGGTCCGGTTGAACCACCTCAGGTGACTTTCTGTTTTGTCATGGGGATCGATGTAACTGCAAATGAACTCGCCACAGCAAGGGAGGTGAAAGAGTAAGCGTGCAGGGCACGCTGTGGTATTGCACGTGTGAGTGATGTGAGCTTGGTGCCACAAGAAAGAAATGCATGGCAGGGCTGGGCGTGGCGGGGAAGGGAAGGGAATCATTGCATACAGGCTGTCACAGTAGTACGGTAGTGTTGCATGAGGCGGGTCCATTTCAATCTGCTGCATCTGGTCTGCGAGGTATCCTGGCAATCCCAAAAGCACATTTCTCTGCTTGGGGCATTCTATTCGTTTCGCAGCCGCCCCGCTGGAGCGCTGTAAGGCGGTGGTGTGCTGCCGGGCTTAGTCCTCGTTCCTGCTCTGAACGTTGCGCTCGCCCACCGCTGCCGGGTAGTACTTGCCTGCACAGCAGAAGCAGCGCAGAAGAACCGCAGCGACAGCATGAGGCGCCGGCTGCGCCAGCAACACAGCCCTGCACTAGTGCAGTGCTGGCTGCTGAGGGATTGCCAGCCATGCGGCAAGCTCGCAATGCTTCCTTGTTCATCCATGCAGGCTGGTGGCAGCCGTGCAGGCACGTACGGCGCACCATGTATCGTGGCGCCCGACAGCACAGAGTCGTGCACCGCCTGCTCAAACACGGAGCGGTTGTTGTGCAGCAGGCTGCCCGCCGCGGTGTTGAGGGCGTCGTCTGTGTCTGGCAGCAAGAAGAGGCGGTGCAGGCCGTAGATGACAGTCTTGATGCTCCTTCATACAGGCAAGGCGAGCAGGAGCAGGGAGGGCGTCAAAGCGCATGAACGGGCAGAGCAGAGCAGCAGAGCGAGTGGCGGGGTGGCTGACTGAGCAGGCAGGCGGCGTGGTGGGAGCTGGCTGGGCGCACATGTCGGGGCGCCACTCATCCCGCAGGAAACTGAGGTCCACGTGGCCTTCCGTGTCGATGGCGGGGTGGAAAACCTGCAGGCACGTGTGACATACGGGGTGGGCCAACCCGGGGGCAGCATGCAACACAAGATGCGGTTGAGGAGCGGTTGGCAGGGGCGGCGTGATGATGGCATGCTTGCCTGCGTCAGGCACTTGACTCTGGGTGGGTCTGACGGATACGACTCTGGCACCCGGAACATGAAGACAAAGGTGCCGCCCGCGTAGCACCCCTCGTCTGCACAGCAGCCCGGCACACATGATGAGCGAGCTGCCAAGCTGCGCTGCATGGCCCTGCTGGAGCTGCCCGCAGGAGGGCGGCGCACCTGGCGTGAGCGCCACCTCAAACTCGCACATGTGCTCCACGCCCCGCGGGAAGGACAGGCGCACGTTGGAGGGCAGGTCCAGCTCAGACAGGTCTGCAGCGGCAGCGACGAGTGGTTTGGAGCAGTGCGCCACGCCGCAACCGCGGGGCCTCCCGCCGGCGCCCTCCCGCGGGCTACCCGCCCGGCGCCAATGCGAAGCGCTCGGGCGCGTCACATGCCCGCCACTGCCCGCGCACCCTTCTGCAGCCTCATCTCCTCGGCTTTTCGGCGCCCGGTGGGAGATGACACCCGCGGGCTCGACACGGGGCTGCCCCCCATTCGGCAGTCTATGATTCTGATCATTCGTCCCAGTTCTGGAGCTTTCAGCCCTCCATTCCGCCGGCGGCGAACCTAGGGTTCGAGTTTGCAGACCGGCTCCGCTGCGCCTCCACTGCAGCCCAGTGGTGTGTTATGAAGCAAACGCGAGTTCAGTGCGAGCTTTCCGGTGTCGGAGACCCCGATGATGCCAACTCCCTAGGTCTGAGTTGGCGGCAGTCACTGCCGCATGCATGATGCGGCGCGCATGGTGGCCCTCTTCTTTGGATGCAGCTGGAATTGAGCAGTAGGTCGCACGGTCTGTGCAGCCCAAGAGAAAGTGAACAATGGTTGAGAACACGGCATTGGTATCCAGAGACGTGCACAGGGCGGCGCCCTTGCCGCCTTGGCGCATCAGCGAAACCCGGCAGCGGGCATGAATAGCAAACTAGCAATGCGAGGCGACGCTGGAGAAGTTCACCACACGCCAACCAAGCTTGGCGGCAGCTGCTACCCACCACGAGCGCTCCGAGCGACAACCGCTGGGCGACGCTCATCTAATGGTTGGTGGCCCAGATGGCGCATTGCTGGCTGGATCGTGCCGCCCTATCACATATGAGGAGCCCTCCAATGGAATGCAGGATGCTCTGCAAAGCCGCGCCGGTTGCCAGGATGGTCGGTAGGGGGAAACGGCTTGGTGCCTCATTTGGCCTGGTGCTGCCTTGCGACGCGTGTAAATGTCATGATATGACCAATCCACAGTTCAGAGAGTCCCGGCAAACACAGAGGCAGCGGAAGCCCAGCACGCCTGCGTGGCAATTCACGATTGCTGAACAAGCGTGTCGAGCCGCCCCCCCCCCCCACCCATCCTTCCCTCCCTGTCGCGATTGTGCGTTCGTGGGTCGCAACTGGCTCGCTCAGGCTGCCCAGGAGGCTCTGACTGGCGAGACCTGAGCGGTTATGGAGGAGCCCGGCAGCACGGGGCGCCTGACACGGTCGCAGGCCAAGAAGAGGCCTGCCAGCACGCCTCTGCGCAGCCCTATGCTCACGGACATCTTCCCAGCGGCTGCAGCACGCAAGCAGGCTCGCACCACCAGCAGGGCCGCCCCCACGCTGCGCTCTATACGCAAGAGGGGCGGCAGCGGCGATCCTGTGCAGCTAACGGGCCACCTGGGCCTGCTGCCGCAAGAGGTGAGAGCGAAACCGGTGCCCAGCCAGTGCGCTGGCCCCCTGCGCCGGATCGCCTGCCTCAACCCACCGTGCTGGTGCTGTTGGGCTGTGGGTGTGCGCCGGCAAGCCCGCCGGCAAGCCCAGGCGTGCGACGCAAGATCCGCCAACTGACCGGCGCCCGCGGCGCCCCCAGTGGGGCCCTGGCCTGCCCACCACTTCAGCTTCCTGCGCGCGGCGTCGTGCCCGCGCGGCACTGTGCCTGCTGACCGATGCGGCAGCACCTCGACCATGCCAGCCTTCCAGGCACCAGCCGGTGTATCGGCGCTCCCTCGCCGCCGCCCGCCCACTTGCCCCCCGCCGCCCTGTTCCCCCTCCCCCTCCTGCTTGGCGTGCAGCTGCTGCAACAAGTGCTGGGCTACTGTGGACCGCGCGAGCTGGGCACGCTGGAGGCCACCTGCAGCTACTTCATCAAGAGCGGCCTGACCGACCGCGTAGCCAAGCACTTCCTGCGCGACATCCCGCGTGCCAAGGGCCTGAAGCCAGAGATTAGGTGGGCCCCCGGGGCTGGCTGGGGGTCCTGCTGGGTGACTGCTGCACCTGCTGGAGCTTGTTTCCTGCCCCCTTTGCCCTCACCTGTCGCTACCATCCCTTTCTCTCCCCTGCAGCAAGGGAGAGTCGTATGTGACGCTGCTCAACTTTGTGACAGGCCAGTCCAACGCGGCGGCGCAGGGCACCGCCATTGCGCTGGGCACCTACCACACCGTGGGCCTGCTGTGCCAGCCGGAGCAGGCGGCGCCAGAGTATGCCATGTACGCCATGGGACGCGGCTTCCACGGCCAGCTGGGCCTGGAGCAATTTGACAACCAGGAACAGCCGCAGCGGGTATGTGCAGGCTCTCACTGTTGCTCTTGTCCTTCAGGAGCCCGCCTGCTGCTACCCTCCTGGAACGCCTGCTGCCCCAGAAGCTCCTGCTACCTTCCTGGCCCCAGCTTCCACGCCGCCACTCACCCAGCTCACCCTCCCTCTGATGCCCCCCCGGCTGCAGGTGGGCGCTGTGGAGCGGGACGTCAAGGTTCCACTGTACCAGGGCGCGCCCGACGACATACACCTCGCCGTCGTCAGCGCCGGCAGCAGCCACTCCGCCTCCATCTCGCGCAGGTCGGTTGGGGCAGGCGCCTGAGGCAGAGCTTCCGAGCTGCTACTGAACCTTGGGCCTACAGCTATGTGCGAGCCTGCTTGGCCTACCAGCTCCAATCTCACCTGTGCCGCTAAGCTGTCGTGCCACACCATTGCTCTGCAGGGGCGAGCTGTACACGTGGGGCCTGGCCAGCAGCGGCGAGCTGGGGCACGGCGGGTGGACGCCCATCGAGGTCAGCTGCCCCCGTATGATCACCTCGCTGCAGCGCACCCGCATCGTCTCCGTCTCCTGCGGCGCCAACCACACGCTGGCCATCTCTGAGACGGGGCAGCTGTGGTCCTGCGGCCGCGGACGGCACGGCCAGGTGCGCGCAGCGCTGGGCTGCCCCTGGGTCCTGAGCTGCCATGTTCCTGCTTCATCATCGTAGCGCAACCAAGTCGCCTCTCTTCTGGGCACTCCTTCTTCTCACCCGTCTGCCCCGCCTTTCCCCTCCTCTCCCCTGCCTCTCCCCTCCTCTCCCCTCCTCTCCCCTGTAGCTGGGCCATGGCCACTTCCACGACGAGGGCCTGCTGATGCTGGTAGACACCATCCGCCACGAGCGCGTCGTGTCGGTGGCTGCAGGCCGCGCCCACTCGGTGGCGCTGGCCGCCGACGGCAAGATCTTCACCTGGGGAGACGCCAGCAAGGGCCAGCTAGGGCACGCGCAGCTGGCGGCGGTGATGCAGGTGCGCGCTGCTCGCAGCTCGCAGCAGGGTGCGCTTTGGGCTCCTGCCCACTGCTTGCTGACGCCACTGCTTTGGTGTGCCTTCTGAACCAACCCCGCGTCTGTCTCACTTCTGCTGGCTGCGTTTGCTGCCTTCCCTGCAGGGCCCCAACCCGCAGCCACTCTCCATCCCCTTCCCCCAGGCCATCCAGTCGCTGGAGCCGGCGCGGCTGAAGCCTCCGGCTCGCGTCACCGCCATCGCCGCCGGCGGTGACCACTCGATGGCGGTCACCGTGGCAGGGGCGCTGCTGGCCTTTGGCTCCAACAAGCATGGGCAGGCACGTGTGCTGGCGGCGCCGCGAGTTGTTTGGCCGGCACCTGATGCTTTGCAACCCAACTGCACGGTAGCCCTCAAGCCCCGTCCTCACCGATCGTTGTCACCCGCTTCTGTCGCCCTGCTGCAGCTAGGCACCGGCGACACGCTGGACCGCATGATCCCCACGGAAGTGCCTCTGGCGCTGGAGAGCGAGGGCGGGCAGCTGGTGCGTGCGATGCAGGTTCACTGCGGAGCGCAGCACACGCTGGCACTAGTGCAGGTGCAGGGGCACCACCAGGTGCGGTCGGTGGGAGGCAACAGCTACGGCGAGCTGGGCCTGGGAGACCGGCTGGAGCGCCACCGCTTCCACCCCATCCCCGCCCTCAAGGTGTGCCTGCTGCCCTGCCTGCTGCCTTGGCTGTGCTGCCACTACTGCTCTGTGCTGCTGGCCTCCACCATTTTTCTCAGACTTCTGCGTCCTTCTTTTGCAGGGCAAGAGCATCGTGTGTGTGTCGGTAGGGGACTGGCACAACGCCGCCATCTGCCAGGACGGACGGCTGTATGTGTGGGGCCGCGGAGACTGCGGGTGATTGGCCTGAGGGTTGCTTGTTAGCCTTGCACTGCCTTGGTCACAATGGTGTCGCATTCTTTGTGCCCTGGCTGCACCTGCTGCTGACCACCTGCTCTGCTTGGCGCTCGCTGTTATCCTCCTGCAGGCAGCTGGGCCTGGGCGATGACAGGAACCGGTGGGCTCCCAAGCAGCTGGGCGGCTTCACCATCATCCACCCCGACCGCACGCTGCGCCGCAACCGCAAGCCCGTGCTCAAGGCGCTGCTGCTGCAAGAGGACGCGACCAGCAGCCGCAGCCGCAGCCGGGCGCAATGATGAGCAGCGGCAGCTGGCGCGCACGCCTGTCGCCTCGTCATCGTGGCAGCCTGCCATCCCAGGCACATAGCAATCAACCCCTTAGGCTGGCATGCAACGCTGGCGCCGCAAGGTGCCGGCAACCATCCGCAGCTGGGCCGCCTGGCAGCTCCGCCGCATTGGCAGACTGCAGCGCCCTTCCGTTCTCTGTATATTGTTCCCCGTTCTGCGCCTCCCATTATGAGGTTGCTCTGACTGAGCGGTCAGGTCGGAATTGGCCCGGCCTGACTAGATGTGTGCAGCATGGCGCGGACGGGGCATGCTCGTCCCGCCATCTGTATTGTGTGCTGCACCTGACCCACCCTTCTTGATACTGCTCATCACCTTCGCCCCTCTGTCCCGCCACAATTTAGCCTATCCCCCCTGGCTACCCTATTCACATATTCGTTGCATGCTACCTGCTGTTACTGTGCTCCGCTCTTCTTATTGGTCCCTAGCCTCCATTTACTGTTGGCGTTCCCAAATGACTCGCAGAAGGGCTGTACATTTGACCCATTGTGATCATTTCCAAACAATGAAAGCCAAAGGCAGAAACACAGACGAGGACTGCGCTTCTTCCTGGGAATCGTACTCAGGGTGCATCTCGCTCGTGTGGCTCGCGGTACGGAACCTGCAGCAGCTCGAACACGTCGCGCTCGCACTCCACCCGCCGCCCCGGCCCCCAGCCGGGGGGCCACCGCTCCTGCCCCGCCTTGTCCAGGGGTGACCGCTCGTCAGGCACCACAAACGACTCGTTGCCCTGCTTCTGCATCAGCCTGCAGCAGTAGGTGCGCAGAATCGTGACAGCTGGCAGCACGCTGTGCTCGAAGCACCAGCAGGCAGCCGCAGGTGCAGTCTCGTGACTGCAGGGTGCCCGCCCGGCTCCCCTCCCCACCTGTGGCTGTTCAGGTACAGCCCTTGGTCCTTGGCAAACGCCCGCATGAACCGCAGGTAGGTGCGGGAGCCGATCCAGCCCACCAAGGCAAAGCAGAACTCGTCTGGTGGGGCAATGATGACATCCATGCGCCGCACCTGCAGCGGGACAGCACTAGAAGTGAAAGGATAAGAGCAGGTAACTGCTGCAGTACCAATACCCATGCACCAGCAGCGTGGCGCTGGTGGTGTGTGGGCCGGCGCTCATCCTGAATGCAAGCACGCCATGCAGCAGGCGGTGCGGCCCACACCTTGCCGGACGCAGTGCGGAACACGCCGTAGATGTGATCGAACCTGCAGGGGTGCAGGCGGGGTGAGTAACGTCAGTTGGCACACGTGCTGCACAAAGCCACGCAGCGCCTGAGCCAGTTGTGCCATAAGATGCAAGCTTCCATGTGATGCCGACACTGCTCCTCGCTGCAGAGCCCACTTGTCCATGTGTTTGTTGCATGGAGGGCGCCTCATCTGGCACGCTCAGGTGCTCCTGCTTCAGCCGCTCGATGTGGGTGGGCAGCAGCCCCTCCTGCACCCTGCAGGCATATGCATGCAGCGCAGGCCACTTGGCGGCCGGCGGGGACCCCGCCATGCAGACAACAGCACAGCAAGCAATGAAGCCAGGCAGGCCTGCACAGGGGGAGCTGCCGCTTGGGCCAGGCTCGCCCTGCACAGGATGGCAGCCTCTCACCAGCAAATGCCCCGCTCCGGCGGCACCAGGCGCCCGGCGGCGACCAAGCGATCCCTCAGCCGCCTCACCACCCCGCTCACTGGCTGGCTGGGGTGGGTGGCGAGAAAGTCTGCGGCGGCATGCGGGGAGGGCAGGTCAGTGGCGTGGCAATCACCAGTGGCCAGCGGTGCCTCGAGCTCGAGCAGCCCAGCGGTGGCCCCAGGGAGCAGTGCTGGCGGCACGCGGCCCCAGACCTGCGTCGTGGGCGGCGGCGGAGCGGCGCCCTCCGCCCACCAGCTCCACCCGCCAGCCGGGGTGGCTGACAGCCTCTAGGCCTTGCTGGACCGCCACCAGCATCTCCCGCACCTCCCCCGGGACTGCACCACAGCATACGGTACCATATCTGCCTGTACCGTGAAGCATCCGGCCCAGGCTGCCCGCCCTGCCAGGCAAGGGCCAGCACCCCCGTCCCGCCGCAGCGCGGCACCGTAGCCTGGGGTGAGCCTCGGCCTCAGGTGGGGAGCGCCCCGGCCTGCTGCCCCTGCTGGGCCTGCTGCCCCCCCGCTGGGCCTCACTCGCGACCTCCAGCAGGTCTCCCCGGTGGCCCAGCGAGAAGCGCTGGTCGCGGGTGAGCGGGAAGGCGCCCCCCTGGCCCAGCGGGCCGCCCGGCTCCGCCGCCAGCTCCACATCCTCGAAGCACCTGCGGCGCGGCAGGGCGGCAGCGCCAGCCTGGTACTGAATGGCGCAGATGGCTGGGGTGGCACCACCCCCAAACAAGCACGCAGCCCACCACCCACTGCTGGCTGCCACACAAGAGCAGTGTGCAGGCACGGGGAAATGCCGTGCCAGAGAGCGGGCAGGCTGCCGGGCGGGCTACCTGCAGCCCAGGTCCCACCACCGCTTGGCCGCCTGCACCCCCACGCCCGGCAGCGAGTGGAACAGGGCTCGGGTGGCGCCGCCCACGCTGTCCCTGCGCCTCCGCCCCTTGGAGTCGGTCACAGCGACGTCGGCCCTGCGGCAGGCAACAGCAGCGCCGCCGCACGCTGCTCAGCGATGGCTGCTCTGTTGGCACAGTGAGCTTGCACAGAGCAGTCTCCATCCAACCAACGCCCTGGTGGCCTGCATTGGGAGACTCTTCTCAGGGAGGCAAGGAGGCACCCTGGGCCCGCCTACTAGTAGCTCACACACGCCTGAAGCACTCCAGCGCCTGACATGTGCCCGACTCAAGGATGTCTTTGATCTGGCTGGCTGCAGGCATGGCAAAGGGTTTGCGCCGCATTGCAGTGCCCAGCAGCGTGTGGAGGCTGAAACATAAGCATACGCATAGCTGCCGCAGCGGCAGCAGCAGACTCACCAGTCACGTCGCCGACAAAGGGCAGCTGGCCGCCCCGCAGGTTGGGCTGGAGCTTGTAGGCGCAGGCGCGCACGGCCGAGGCCGCCCTGCTGTACCGCAGCGCCTGTACCGCAGGGTATGTACCGCACGGGTGCACCGGCTTGACAGCACGGCGCACTTACAACTCCTGCCACTGGTGATGTTGCTGTCCCATCATCTCTCTCCGATCAATGCCCCGCTGGCTCGGTGGTCAGAACTCGCTGCCCCACCGGAGGCAACGCCCCCCTGTACCCACCCGGTGGTTCACTTGGTCCTGCTTCCCCGTTTCTTGGACCGTGAAGTAGTCGTCGTGCAGTGCCCGCTCGTAGCGAGACAGCTCGCTGCGGCAAACAGCGGCAGCGAGCACCCCGGGTCTGGCGGCTGAGTGAGAGGGCAGCAGATGATGAGCGGCACCAGCAAGGGCTGCCGCGGGCACGGCTCTTGTGGTTCCGCCGGCGGCTTGTCTCAGACGAACTGCTCGGCTTCAGACTTGCTGCAAATCTGCATCCGTCTGCGCCTCTGCCCACCCACCTGAGCGCCTTCACCACCGGCTCGTTGCCGATCTCCTCGCTTCGCTTCCGAGAGTAGACAGCCTGGCATGGAAGGGAGAGGGACGTCAGGTGACTCAGTCAGATGGGGCAACAGATGGTGCGGAGGCCATGCCACAAACGTCTGAGCTGCTGATCAGCCGCCCCCGAGCCAGGCACAAGGACGGCGTGCAAGGCTCGGCAGGCCTCGGCCGGCAGCCGCAGGTACAGCAGCGAAGGCAGCAGGCACAGCAGGCACAGCAGGCACAGCAGGCACAACAGCAGCAGCAGTGGCAGCACAGCAGCAGCAGCGGCAGCAGGCCCGCCTGCCTGCAGCGCCAGCTCGTTTGCCGACATGTCTGCACAGCGCGCGTGCCACAGCTGGGGCCCCAGCCACCTCATGCGCTGCAGCGCCTCGCCACTCGGGGCGCTGCCTCCCGACGCCGCGCCGCTGCCCAGGCTCTGCCCGGTGCGGGAGGGGGGCCGTGCTGCAGGGGCAGGCATGGGCAGGCGGGCCGTGTGATTCATCACATGCGCAGCCCCATGAACCACCAGCCTGTAACAGCATGCAAATTGCCGCCGCTGCGTGCGGGCAAACATACAACGCTTCCGTCATCGGCAGCCACCAAAAGCAGGCTACCCACCCACTGCCGTGGGGGTGTGCACTTGGGCGTCTGGGTCGGGCGGCGGGTAGTCTGCCGGCGGCAGCAGCTGCTGGCGGGCCAGGGACTGCTCCACCCACTGGTGGCTCACATACTGTAGCTGCTGGCCGCCTTCTCCAGCCACGCCGCCCTTGGGCTGCTTGTCACCGCTGCCGCGTTGGTCGCTGCGCCCCTCGCCCCGCCCCTTGCTGCCGTCGGGGGAGCTGCCCCTGCTCCTGCTGGCGGCAACGGGGGAGCCGGGGTGCCCCCGCCCCTGGACGGCGCTGGCGGGGGGTTTGGAGCCGCCCGGGCGCAGCTGAGGCGGCAGGGAGGTGATGCCGCCCTGGCCCACCACCACGTGTGTGATCCCAGGGGACGCCTCATCCTGCGGTGCACGGTTTCTTTCTAGAAAGATCTTGCCAGGCAGGCGGGCGGGCAGGTGTGGCTGGAGACGCCAGCTGGCGGCAGGCCCCGTTGGCGCGCCACCCGGCTCTGCATCATGCGATGATCGGGCGCTGCCGCGAGGCGCACCCGCGTCAGGCTGCCGCCTGCCCTGCGCACGCTGGCGCTCCAGAACTTGGCCTTGGTTGAGAGGTAGGGGATGCCGGACTGGGGGACAAATACCTGCGGGGGCCACGCTGCGGGTGGGCAAGCTGCGGGGCGCGGCCTCCACACAGCCCGCCTCCACACAGCGCAACCTTGATGCCTTTGAGGAAGGGCGCGGCGCTGAATCGGGAGGGGGCTGATGGGTTCAGCTTGAGGCGCTTGGGTAGGGCTGCCGCCCCTGGCTCTGCTGCGCCTGCCGCGGCTTCCATTGCTGGCTCCTGGTGCGGGAGGGATTCACCAACGCCTACAAGAAGGCAGCAGTGGCAGAGCATCCACGGTGGGTTCCTGGTGGGTCTCGAAGAAAGTCCAAGGAATGGCAAAGGTTGGAGCCGCTGTTTGCCATCGATTCTTGGACGATCTGTGAATCAAGCAGACTTTAGCAAGCCTTCCACCTCGCATCAACACCATGAAGACATCGGTGGAGCATGTGCGCCTGTGGCCTGCGCCGCCTGAAGCAGCCTCACAGGAGGGAGACCTGCGGCGGCAGCGCGGCATCAGGGAAACCTCCGCGGCGGCGGCAGCAGCGGCTTTCAGGGCCAGCGCCAGACGCTGGGCCCGGGCCGCGTTTGGCTGGCGGGGCGCGGAGCTGTGGAGCGGCGCGCGGGAGGCGGCGGTGGCGGCGGCCGCCGCCTGCGGCGCGGCGCTGGTCAGGCGTGGCTGGGTGGGCCTGGCAGTGCAGGCTGCACGCCTGCTGATGGCCCTTGGGCTCCGCCGCTTCCTGGGAGACGTGGTGGCACACGCGGCGGCGCAGGGCCAGGCCGCGGCGCTGGGGGTACTGTGTGTGGCCGCCGCACAGCGAGGCGCGCGGCCCCTGGGGCAGCAGCTGCTTGGGGAGCTGCTGGGCGAGCGGCATGTGGTGGCGGCAGCAGCCATGGCGGGTGAGACCAGGCGAGGGGCGACTGCATCCAACTCAGGCTGATGATGGGTTTGGGGCAGCGCTCCTCCCTCATCAGCTGTGATTAACAGCGCTGCCACGGTGGGCGGCGGCAGCCGCTGTGGCCCCCTGGTCGCCCCCCTGCCATGCAGCCATCCAACCCAACCCGTCCTCCCCAACCACATCTGCAGAAGCGTTTTGGCACGTGGCCGCGGCTGCGGGGCTGCGCCCCAACTCAGCCGCCGCGCTGCTGGCGCCAGCCGTGGTGGGGGCGGTGGACGGCGGCCGTGCCGACGCGGCGGCAGCGATGCTGCAGCTGCTGTTTGCAGCCCACATGCAGGCGCTGCTCATGTGGCTGCTGGAGGCCATTGTTCGAGGCACCGAGAGGGCAGACGCGGCGGCTGCCGTGGCATGGCATGCCGTGCAGAAGGGCGGAGCAGGCGCGCAGCGGCGGGAACGGCTGCTGGCTGCGCACTCTGAGTTGGCAGCGAGCGCCTCTCTCATGCCATGGTCATGGGAGTGCCCTTGCCCCCCTGGCTGCACAAGCACCTACCAGCACTTGCCAGATGCGCACACCTGTTTAGCAGCTGTGCTCCCTTCAGCTGTGATGCCAGCAGCTGTGCTCCCCGTCTCCTGTGCAGTGATGGTGGGCGACAGCTGGGCGCTGCTGGCGGTGGATGGGCGCCACCAGACCGCTGCTGACCTGGCAGGGGCGCTGTACGACCACCAGCCGGGGCCCGCCAGCCGGCAGCAGGTGCTTGGAGACGCGGCCGGCCCCACTGTAGTGCAGCTCGGCCTGGTGGAGGCTCATACCAAGCTTGCGGGGCAATGCGCCAGACTCTCCGTGTGAAGCAAGTATCCATCAAATGGGCGTACTTGCTGCAGGTTGCAGCTGTGCTGGCGGAAGGGACACGAGAGATGGCGGAGGCAGGCCGGCAGGCGGATGCAGTGGCGGTACAGGCATTGCTGTACCGCCAGGACCGGCTGGACCTGCTGGCTGCCATGCTGGCTGCCCTGGCGGGGCAGCACCAGGGGCCGCAGTGTGCCGCACTCCTCTTCCAACACGCCCATATGAGTGGCAGGTGAGGTGGAGCCCTGTGAGGCGGCCGCTGAAGCTTATCGGGCCTGCTGTGCACCTGGCGCCCCTCGTCTGCTGACTCAAGTCAATCGGCTGGCTTGGGCCCCGCTGGTGTGCAGCGAGCAGCTGGTTGCGGCCAGCTGCCGCCAGCTTCTGCTGTCGGGAGGGGCAACGGAGGCTGCCGCGGTGCTAGCTGAGCTCTATGCTTCTGGGCACCCCCACCATGTCAGCCGGGTGGCTGTGGCTGCTCTCGTGGATGCGGTGGATGGAGGGGCGGTGGAAGCGGTGGCGGCCGCCGAGGCGCTGCTGTGGCGGCGCGGCTGCGTGCCGCTGCTGCGGGATGTGTGGCTGGCAGCCCTGCGCGAGGGCTGGGCGGATGCCCTGGCGGCAGTGGCCTGGCAGGCGCTGCGGCAGGGCGGCGGCGACATGGTGACTTTCTTGCTGGCGGCCATTGTGGGGCAAGGGACGGCAGGCCTGGCGGCGGCCTTGGTGCGCCAGCTCATGGACGTGTCTGCATGCAGCCCGCTGGTTGTGAAGGTGCGCTTGGTTGGCAGAGGCCACCTGCTGATCGTGGATGGAGTGCCGGCTGCTGCTCTACTAGCACGCAGATGCCGACAACAAAGCTAACCGCGCTGGCCGCATGCAGGCCGCGGGCGAGGCGCTGGTGGCGGCGGTGCGCGGCGGCGCCGCAGCCCAGGCAGCCAGCTTGACTGCACAGCTGAGTCAAGAAGGGAGCGCAGAGCTGGTCGGCCAATTAACAGACTACCTGAGCAGCACGGGTGTGCGGCAGGGCTAGCTGCTTGCCAGAGCATCACTTTGACGATCGGATGCATGTGCATGATGGAAGCATTATCAGCGTGCATGAATGAGCACCTTAGCGTCAGGGCTGCTGCTTCCACCAGCACGTAGGGAGCAGTGATCTGCTGCGTGTGACGGGTACCGGCGGTTGGTGCCGCAGGGCGGGCGGAGGAGCTTCGCAAGCTGTCGTGAGCTGCGGAGCACGGCCCGGCGCAGCAGATTGCTCAGCTGAACAGTGGATCCGGCTGGAAGGCGAAGCGTAGTGCACAGGAGAAGCGTGGCTTTATGTGAGCACGTTCGGATCCTTGGGGCGACGGCGCTTGGCACGCTCGGCGCCAGGGTGTCCGCTGAGATTGTGTTCCTACTCGAGTTGCCTGCCCTTCCTACCTTTAACACACGTTTTTCTGCACCCGGGCGTTCAGAGACTGCTTCTTGTGCCTGCTTGCCTGCCCTAGTCTCCCGATCGTGCACACCCTGCCTCCCGCTCACCTGCAACACTCTGCAGCGCCGCCGTGCGATGTCGGAATAGGGAATAGGGAAAATCCTGCTGTCCCCCTCGGGATGAGAGACCCGGCCGGGCAGCTCCCTGCGGGCAGAGAGGGTCCGGCGCAGAAGCGGCTGGGTCTGTTCTCCAGGCTGCGGGTAAGCGTGCCTGCAGCGAGTGTCCTGGGGCGCCGCATGCTGAGGGGCGGCGTGGGGTCTCGACCCGTCGGTCCTGCTCCGCCTTCCTGGGCGTCCACTGCCGCGTTCTGAGGTCGCGAGCCGCTGCCGTGCAGTCGGCGCGCCACGGCAAGGGCGCCTCCCTGGCCGCCGCCGTCAGCGAAGCGCTGGGCGACGCCAGCTCCGCCCGCCAGTCGTCTGATTCCACGCTGCAGCCGGTGGGGCGCCCCAGCTCGCTGCCCAGCGCCCGCTCCAGCTTCGACTCGTGCGGCGACGATGCACCCATGTCGGACCCCAACCACAGTCATCGGGAGAGCCTGGACGAGAGCAACGCCATCACCGCCGCCAGCGCCTACGACGACGCGGTGGCGCGCGGGATTGGCGCCGCAGAGGCGGCCGCCGCGGCGCAGTTTGCGGCCGCCGCCATGGCCGCGCAATCCCAGTTCATGCAGCAGGCCGCGGGGCCGCACCAGGCGGCGCCCCGCGAGGCGCCGCCGCCCGGCGGTCTGAGCTCCTTCAGCGCCAGCCTCCCCGCGGCGCCCTCCCCCTCCGACAGCAGCTGCAGCAGCGCCTCCGACCGGCAGCAGCCCCCGGGCGGCGCGGACCGGCGAAGGCCCTCCCCGCTGAGCAGCAGCGGCGCCAAACCGGGGCACGACGGCGGCCGCCGGCACGGCAGCGGCAAGCACGCCGAAAACCTGGAGCACGGCAGCACCGCGCCGCCGGGCGGCATCGACGAGCTGGCTGAGATGCTGCTGGCGGCAGCCAGCATCGGCGCAGCAGCCGAGGCCGGCGGCAGTACCAGTACCAGCAATGGGGGCGGGACACCCGGTCCCGCCAGCGACCTGTACTTGCAGCCGCTGCAGGTGACCAGCAGCGCGCCTGCTGTCGTGGCAGCCGCCGGCGGCGGCGGCGCGGCCGGCGGGCAGCACAGCGCGGCGTCCCGCCTGTCGGCGGGCCGCCACTCGGCGCCGCCGGCCCACGGCGCCGAGCCGCTGCTCAACTCGCAGGTGGCCCTGCTGGCGCAGCAGCTGCTGGCGCAGCAGCAGGCGGCGGCGGCCGCAGCGGCCGGCAGCAGCGCGGCGCGCCTGCGGCACAGCATCCAGCTGGGCGCAGAGCACCAGCAGCAGCAGCAGCAGCAGGCGCAGTGGCAGCCGCCGCGCCCCGTCCCTCTCGACCGCTCTCGCACCATGCCGGCGGCCGACCTGGCGCGCGGCCGCGCCGGCGGGCCGCTCAACGCCGCGCAGCTGTTGCTGCAGGGCGGCGGCAGCGGCGGGCCTCGCGCGCTGGGGCCGCTGCCGCCGCAGGCGCCCGGCGGGGGCAGCAGGAGCATGGGTGCCATCATGGGCCTTGCGGTGCTGGATGCGGCAGCCCAGCCGCGGTCCAGCCCCCCGCAGCTAGAAGAGCTAGAGCCGTCCCCCTTCTCCTCGGTTCAGGGTGAGCCCGCCACTGCTAACTGCTGCCGGTGCTGACGCCCGCTTCAGCTGGCGCCGTTGTCGGCTGCTGCGGCTGCTGTCGGCAGCAAGCGCCCCTGCGTGTGCTGCCGTTTCGGTTCTTGCCGTGGCGCCGGCTTCCCTGCCCCGCCGCGTGCCTCCCAGGCCGGCTGCCGAGCCCCCATGTGTCGCCTGCTGGCCTGCCCGCTGCTGCAGGGGTGTATGGCTGCCACCTGCTGCCGCCCACCGACGTCTCGGACCCGCTGCCGGAGCCCTCGCCCCGGCCCAACAGCAGGCAGGCGGCGGCTGCCAGCCTGGCTGGCTCTGCGGTGCCGTACCGCACCTCTTCCGCCGCGGCCCGCTTCTGCAAGCGCGGCTGCTGCTCCTGCCGCCCCTGCCGCCGCTCCTGGCGTGCCTGACGCCGCCTGCCTGCCTCGCCCCTGCTGCCTGCCTCGCCTCTGCAGGAGCAGCATCGATCTGCTGCTGGATCCCGCCTTGCCCGCCACCAGCCGCGCCGCCTCGCACCGCCACAGCCTGGACACCCTGCAGGAGCTCTTTGCCACCACGCCCGTCGCCCTCAGCGTGCGTTTGCCTGCTGGGGCCTGCCGGCCTGCCCGCGTTTGGCGTCGGTGCCATGCTTGCATTTGCGCCTGCCTCCCTCAGCAGCAGTCAGCTGCCAAGCGTGTGTGTCGTCTAGCTGGCTGCTGTGGGAGGTGTTGCCAGCCGTGCGCCACTCGCCTCCTCCTGCAGCGGGCTGCCTTGATTCCGCGCGTGCTGGGCGCCACCCCACCGCAGCCTCCCACCCTCCCCTGGCTCGCCGCCCCTCGCCCCTCTGCCGCCCCTGCAGGCGGGCACCCCCGGGCGACCGACAGTGGCGCAGCTGATGCAGCAGTTCCCCAGCGGGCGCGGCGGTGGCGGCGGCGGCGGCAACGCGGTGCGCCACATCGGCGTGCGGCACAGCATGGACGAGGGGCGGCGCACGCAGCACGCCAGCCGCGCGCTCGCCGCGCTGGCGGCGACCCGCAGGTGAGGCGTGCGGCCTCCCGCCTGCCGGCCTCCTGCCTGCCAGCACCCTTCCTTCCAACCCTCCTGCCTGCCAGCACCCTGCCCGCCAGCCTCCTGCCCGCCACCCCACTTCTTCCAGCCTCCTGTCCACCGGCCTCCTGCTTGCCAGCCTCCTGCCCACCGGCCTGCTGCCCGCCAGCCCGCCCGCCCTCATGCCCTTGCTCGCCCGCTTCGCCATCCCTTGGCCTATGCACCCCCACCCCACACACACGGGCACACGTACCCCTGCCCTTTACGCCCCCCCGCCCTACCCCGCCCCTCCCGTGTCGCCGCCCGCCTGCCGCGCAGGGGCGCGCGCGCCGCGGCCGTCGACCCCGCTTCCTCCTACTATGGCCACATCAACGCAGGCGCTATGCATGACCTTGCCAACAGCACAGTGACGGTGGTGGCGGGGGCGGTGCCCGTGCCTGCGGCCGCGGCAGGCCGCGCCACCACCTCCATCTCCGCCCACGCCTCCTCCATGGTCGACCCGGCCGCCAAGCCGGTGGCGGGCACGTTTGAGGCGCGCATCGGCACGCCGCAGGTGCGGCGCGGCGTGGGAGGGGGTGCCGGGCGGCGGCGGGGGGCTGCAGGGCGGTGTGGCTGGCGGCGGCTGGGCACCCGGGGGCTGCTGCAGGCCGGGGTGGCCGGGGAGTGGGGGGTAGCGCAGGGCTGCGCCTGGCTTGGGCTCGGCTTGGGCTGGGAGGCGGAGGCGGGCCGGGGCGAGGGAGGGCACCAAGGCAGAGGAGGGGGATGTGGTGTGCGGCAGCAGGGGCCCGGCCCGCATGCCTCTGCCCGCCGCGCCACCCTACGTGCCCCGCCTTCCTGCCCCGCCCCACCTGCCCCTGCCCCACCTGCCTGCCTGCCTGCCTGCCTGCTTTGGCGCAGGAGACAATGCTGGATCCTGACCTCCACGATACCTTTGGGGCCCACCCCTCCTACGGGCTGTCCCCCACCCGCCCCGCGCCCCACCGCCGCACCGCCAGCGGCGGCAGCCCCGCGTCGGACGCGGGGCGCGGCAGCGGCGCCGCCACCCCCACCGCCGCCACCTCCGACGGCTGGCGCCAGCCGCCGGCGGCGGCGCGGCGGCGGCAGTCGCTGGCGCACCGCCTGA